AAATCATTTTTCATTAGGTTTAGACTACATGTATATTTAATTGTCAAAGTGTTTGCATAATTTGTTGTATAAAATATACCTGATTAGCATTTCTTTGAGAAACAGCGTTTGTGATAAAGCTTAAGTAACTGTAGTAATATATGATGATTTTTTTCATGGACAAAACAGATGGAACTGCCGATCGCTTCGCGATGTTGCAATTTAATTTTTACTTGCTGACAGTACAGTAGATTAAAGTAAATATTTCGTCTACCTTCTCTACACAGTGGTATTAACCCTGAAATGAATTTTCTAAAAGACACGATGCTGCCTTCAAATTGTGTATTGTGTACATGTTACACAGTAGTTCGCCGTACTCATTTTTTATTTTCATAACATGGCTTTACGAAGGACTCTGACTGCATATTTGATTTTAATTTCAAACTAAAAATCTGATTTATTCTGTAAGGTAAAGGCGATCAAAATGTCATATACTATTTTAATTTATATTCTGTCGCGTGGATGCTATTTTGTCAATGCGAGAATAAAATTGATAACTACAAAGAGAAATTATTGCCTAATTTTTGATTTCAAAAACTGTTCATTTAGTGCTTAGATAAACGCATTCAAACTCGTACGTGTAATTAACTACTCTCTAAGAAGACCAATCTTATCACCAAACGGGACGTTCATGTTACCTGGCCAGCGGCTAATTACGGTACACCAGTGTCGGATTACTCAGGTGAAATCATAAAGTAATTATCTAGTTTTGTTGACAAAAAAGCGCCGGAATTCGGAATGTACAGTGGTCGGAATATACAGTCTTTTATTCTATATAAATTATAAAGATTTTTTGGGGAATAAAATATGAGGTCGGAAAGTCCAGTGTGCCGGTTTGCACAGTGGTCGGATTGGACAGTGGGCACTGTAATTTATTTCTGCCAGTGACCTTGAACTTGCCCGAACCTTGGGTCAAGGTCAAATAACACTCAGGTCATAAACAATCTTCGTGTCAAGCAAGGACTCTTAAATCTTTTATTAGACATTGTAAGGAAACGAATGCATTTTTAAGTGACCTTGAACATGATTACCAAGGTAAAGGTCACGACACACTGGTCATAAGTAATCTATGTGAAGCATCAATTTTGAATGTTCTTCATTCAAAGTTAAGTTAACGACAAAATACGAATTTACACTTTTTTGCCATTGAACTTGCTCAAATGATGATTTTGTGTTAAAGTCGAGAGTGCTCCCAACTCCCAAGCAATCAAAAAAGAGCTTCCAATGTTTCTCCATTACAAGGTTATGATCCAGACATGATTTCACGGACAGACGGACGGACAAGCTGATTGCCTGATATGAAAGCTCTAATATATTTCTACAATTTTAAGGTTAAGTTGATCATTAGAATGGTTGAAGTTTACAACAGAAAGACCGGTTTACAGATAGGACGAAAATAATATACTCCTATAGATAATACTTTCAATCGTACTAGTAGCGCAGCCGGACAGGCAAGCTGAATAAAATGAATACTAGTCGCTAAAATTGTTATGTCTATGTTCTTTTAAGTACTCTTTGAGGAAGTATATTGTTTAAGCTTTGGTATATCACGAGGACACTGGTATGCAAACTGAAGTAAACATGGTCAACGATGCGGCCATCTTTGAAATAATGTTTGCTTGCCCTCTCCCGACTCAGGGTATAATTGTAGGGTCGGTAGGTAGGTAGGAAAATCTTTTTTCCAGAAGATTTCAACATATTTGTTGACGGGATAAAAGTAATAAAAAGAGAGAAAAAAATATCGTGTCCTGGAATGTAAAAAAAGTTTTGAGTCAGGCCATTTTTAGTCAGTTGGTCGGGAGAGGGCAACCAAACAATTTTCTAAAGATGGTCTTGATTGTATGTTGTTTTACGTCCCGTTCGAGAATTTTTTACTCACATAATATGTTATATTATAGACGTCACCATATACCGGTGAAAGGCTTCAAATTTAGACCTTTACTCGGCACTCAGGGCCATTAAGCAGTGAGCATTTTTCAATCCTGGTCCTGGTCAAGCGAAATACTTACTGTGTTTAAACCTGTAAGAAATAAATGAGTGATAATTGGATAACTTTCAGCTAGTAAGGCATGATTTTAGGTGTTTGGATGCATACATGTGCACAAGAAAGGTTTAGGAAGATTTTTTTACATGCCTTGGACTTGGTCGGGAGGTGAAAGGAGGGAGGGGGGTTTCTGCAATTGCGAGGGCTTTCTCTCCAACGAGAAAAATCGTTTATGTCCTATCACAATTTTTTTTTCTGTACTATAAAATATTTTAAGGAAAAGGTAGTTTTTCGAAACGAAAAAAAAAATCACCAACATGCATTTTAAAAGTTGCACAGAATCTAGTACACTTAGGAATGATGTGAAGTTGGTAGTGGTGCACGGCGCCATTGAACAGTTGAAGAAGTATCATTACTAGTACATGATATTCATTTTTAAAACAGGTAGAAGATATACAGGATTTATTTATAAATAATTTTTGAAAATAATGAAGAAAAAAAATTTAAAAGTTCCATTTTTATAAATAAAAAGTCAAACTTCAGTAATTCGTTCTATTCAGTCGAAGTCCCGAGTTGTCAACGGCTTCGTCTTTGCTGTCTTCTCCCATTGTCGGCAAATTTTCTTGGTTATTCCTCTTCGGTAGACGTTCATACATATAAGATTGACCGTCCATAGTCAAAGGAATATCGTCGAAGTCAAAATTTCTTCCGACAATATTGTGTAGTCTATATATTAAACGATAATATCTATTCGATGTATGTTTTTTTTCGATAAGCTTTACGAGTTCTAATTGACCATTGACGTTTCAGTACTACGTGGTCCCTATCTAATTAGTGGAGATTTTTGCTTCGAGGACCCTATGTTTTATGAGCGTTTTATCGCCTAATTACAAGTGTTTCAAAATTATTTAATAATTAAACGATAATTTTATGTTTCAAGAATATAATAATGTTTCATTTTAAAGAAATTCGTATACATGGTAAAAACCCATCAAATTGACATGCAATACGATCCCGATGCTTTGAAAAGAGCCAGTAGTCTCTGTCGAGACTGTAGCTCTACGGTTTGTACTTATAACAAACTAAGGATGAGAAAAGTAGCACTTGGACTTGAAACTTTGCAACAGCAATAAATAGAATGATGATCCTTGATTGTGTCTCTATTTGTGGCAAGATTCCAATCAGATTAAAGCTGTAGGAGTAGTAGCCTTTAAAAACAATTTTACAAAAATTTTGATTCTAGTTAACATGGCAATTTAACATCATGAATGAGAATTAAAAAAATGGTGTAGACAATTATGTATCTCAGTGTAGTCTACTTGTGTGCCATGTTATATAAAAATCAGACCAAACTGTAGGAAAGGTAGCGTTTTGAAACCATTTCACAAAATATATATATTTTAGTAACCATGGCAACACCATTCATCAAAAGCAAAAATCGATACAAAAAAAAATATGTACCTTAGTGTAGTCTACCTGCCAAGTTGTATTGAAATCGGACCAAAACTGTAGGAGGAGTAGCGCTTTTAAAGTATTTCACAGAAATTTCAATTTTTACTAACCATTCATCAAAAACCGATTCACGGAGGTATATCTTAGTTTAGTCTACAAGTGTGCCAAGTTATACTGAAATCGGACCAAAACTGTAGGAGGAGTAGCATTTTGAAAGTATTTCTCAGAAATCTCTATTTTTCGTAACTATGGCAACACCGCTTATTTAAATCGAAAACCGATAGACAGAATTATGTACCTTAGTGTAGCCTACTTCTGTGCCAAGTTATAACCGATTCACAGAATTATGTATCTTAGTGTAATCTACAAATGTGCCAAGTTATATTAAAATCAGACCAAAACTGTAGGAGGAGTAGCATTTTAGAAGTATTTCCCAGAAATCTCTATTTTTAGTAACTGGCAACACCGTTCATTTAATCCAAAAACCGATAAACAGAGTTATGTATCTTAGTGTAGTCTACTTGTGGGCCAAGTTATATTGAATTTTGACTTAAACTGTAGGAGGAGTAGCATTTTAAAAGTATTTCACAAAAATTCTATTTTTAGTAACCATGGCAACACCGTTCATCAAAATCAGTTACACAGAACTATGTACCTTAGTGTGTCTACTTGTGTGCCAAGTTATATTGAAATCAGACCAAAAACTGTAGGAGGGGTAGCGTATTGAAAGTATTTCCCAGAAATTTCTATTTTTAATAACCATGGCAACACCGTTTATTTAATTCAGAAACCGAATTATGTATCGTAATGTAGTTTACTTGTATGCCAAGTTATTTTGAATTTGACCTAAACTGTAGGAGGAGTAGTTTGAAATTATTTCACAAAAAAATTTATCTTTAGTAACCATGGCAACACCATTCATCAAAAGCCGATATACAGTATTATGTACCTTAGTGTAGTCTACTTGTATGTCAAGTTATATCAAAATCAGACCAAAACTGTAGGAGGAATAGCGTATTGAAGTATTTCCCAGAAATTTCTATTTTTAGTAACCCTGGCAACACGATTATCGAAATCAAAAACCGATGAATAGAATTATGTATCTTAGTGTAGTCTACTTGTGTGCCAAGTTATATTAAAATCTGACCAAAAATGTAGGAGGAGTAACGTTTTGAAAAATTACTGACAGACAGACAGACACCTTACTATCGCACAAGCTCTTCTGGTCTCTGACCAGTAGAGCTGAAAATGAGATTATGGGCTCGGATTATGATTTTTGTGTATACCAAACCATTGATAATTTGTATTAACCCCCCACCCCCCTTTAAAAAGGAATTACCTCTTAAATTTCTTTACTTTCATATATAAATTGTATTTGGGAACATACCACATCATTTTTTGAGGTAAATTTCTTTACTATCATATATAAATTGTGTTCGGGAACATCCCACGGCATGTTTGTTATCTTAGAATCTTTAATTATGATACATTGCAAATAAATATTTTTTTTTTTTTTTTTCAAAACAAAACGTCTTCAGTATCGATTCCATCTTTATGATTAAAGAGGAACAACTCTAAAAATTTAGGAGATATGCCCAACCCCTTATAGATGAGTTATTCCACCTGTTTTCCGAACAAAGTATTTTTTTTACGATTACACATATACATTTATATCGTGTTCTGATGAACACAAGAGCTGAAAATTACAATATATACAAAGTATCAAATCTGAAAAAGAATTGCATATAAAACTGCACTTTGTTATCCCCGAATTATAGGTAGCGCACAATAAGTTTAAGTTCAAAGAGTGTCAACATACTTTCAACTTTGCATTTTCGTTCGATGTTTACGGTTCGTTTATAGATATACGAGGGGTGATCAAAAGTTCGCGAACTAATTGAATTACTTCCTTAAAAGAAATAAAAGGAGGTTTCAGTGTTCAATATCATTTAAAGTAGTCCTCTCCGATTTTAATATACATCTGCCACTGTTCTGCCCATGCGCAAATCACGTGATCCAGGCGGTCACGTGCCATGCTCCGTAGCGTTCTGTTCACAGAAGCTAAGAGATTTTTCCGAGTCTTATATTTCTTACCATGCAAGTTATTTTTTATAACAAGAACAGACCATCTGTCAGAAATGGCCAAATCTCGGCAATAAGATGGGTGGATAAGGATATCCCTTCCCAGAGTTAGCATGGTGACCATCACAACCCGTGTCCTATGCCTCGGGAGCGTCGTTTATCCAATGTCGAAAATGTATGGGCGCCTTCTTTTTTTTCCATATCTCATATGTTTAAAGTCTAAAGTAAACGATATTTTAGGGATTTAATAATCATATTATTGTTCAGATATTCAACAATTTTTCTAACTGTAAATTGGCCATCTTTCAAAACAAATTGCTCAACTAAGGACATCTTTTTACCGGCTTGCTTTCGCTGGGCAACAGAACAATCATCATTTTTAACCATCTCCCTGCCTTCACCAAAACAATCAATCCAATTAATGATTGAACCTCTGGAAAGTGGTCTTCATTAACCTTGTACAAATTATCATATTTTAGTGCAAAGGAATTTCCGAGATATACGTTAAACTTTATAGCCGTTCGTTGCTCGAGTACGACTAAGTCAACCATTTTTTGTCACAAATCACCTACACATTGAGGTCAGTTTCACACTGTGACGTCACAGTCACGGAGCAAAACATTATATAACATCTGCTATTTATAAAACATGTGTATGACTGGGTGCCAAATTTCATTCTGATGTGAATTGTGGTTTTGTAAATATAGAGATAGTTCGCGAACTTTTTGATCACCCCTCGTAATGGCTGATTACGGATCTTGGAATGTACCAACACTTAGAAAGGAGCTATGGGAAAAGGAATGCTACCTTTTCCGGCCGCAAAAGAGAGTAAGTTGGTTGAAAGGTATACCTTCGAGCAGTTTCTTAGTCATTATTTTCTCGTAGAATCGTGAATAAGACAATATCAGTATTTGATATTCTGTGTACTTTCAATAAAAATACTCAAAAAGCATATTTTATTAGACTCTTGAGTTCAATTACAATCTGTGCTATCTACATTTTTTCCCTATCATATGCCGGTCAGTATATCTATGTATCATCTTTAGAAAGCTATACATAGTACATTGTATTTGTGAATATATCAACATATTTTAGACTTGAGGCATACGACAGAATTTTAAATTTTGGTGCTGTAGAAAGAGTAGAGAGGGAGCATTGTATGCAGGTGCCTGAATATGAAAAGTTTAACGATATTAACAAAGACACACAGAAAGTAGAAGTGAGAGAAGAGGCAGTGAAAGCATATTTAGAAAGAACTAGATATCATTGAGATGGTGGCCATCTCAAAGGGCCCCGCTTTCAGCAACGAACATGAAAATGTAAGGTAGCTGAAAAGGGTTTATTTTGAAGAGGAATATTTTGTACTATTAAGGGTTGTGTTGTTTGAGTCTAAAGAGTTTCTATGTCATCCTTGTTATAATAAAAAAAAAAAGGCACGAAAATCACGAGTGCTCCATGCCCTCTATCAAAAAACGGACAAAAATTACGAATGTTGCATATCCTCTATGAAAACTGTTGCATATCCTCTATCAAAATATGGAAGGAAAATCACAAATGTACCTTAAGTCAATTGGTTCTGCTATAACCTTAACCTTCGACCTAGAAACATGGTTCATGGTCACTGCACACCCTTTACCCAAAGACATCCTGTGGGTGAAGTATGAGCCAGATTGGGCCAAGGAGAGGGAAGATATGCTCCGGACAAGAGATTTCGGAAGGACGGACGGACATACTGATCACTATAGGGCGCCCGCAGAGCGCCCTTATGCACAAATGTGAAGTACGTGTACATATATGAGAGCAAGTTCCTAAAACATGTGAGACTCTGTCCTGAAAATAACTTTTATTATCTGAATGCAATGCACAGGTGGAGAAGATTGTGCCATATAAAGTGGATGTATGTGTGAATTTAGATGGGTATATTGTGGAAAGTCAGTGCAGTGGGTATAGGCCCTACTGCTGCATGTTAGCATGTATGTGTGGTATTATTTGGATTACGGATTTTTTTATTAAAGTTGGGATATTGTTACTGAGGAGATGTACTCAGAACCTCCAAACATTCCATCAAACTAAAGGGTATAAAGGCAGTCCAATAAAAGCAAAAGACTTGCCTTTAGCTGGTGAAGTATATGTTAGTCATGATCCACGACCAATACATATCGCGATATGCCAGGTTATCCAGACCCCCTCAGAAGTGAGTGGCTGGATCATTCCAACATTAATGATCTGGCAGTGTCACAACTCTTCCCACTTCCAAACACAATTAGGTTAGAAAAAGATCATGACTATTTGAGTCATCCTTTGTTATACATATGGTTACAATACATGAATCAGGAGATGTTTAATTTTTTTAGTGCAAGATGTACAAAATCTAATAAAAGAAATATGTATTGTAAGGCTTATCATATCCATTGGTGTTCTTGAATACTGTTCGTTATCTCCATATTTCATTAGTGAGGAGTAAAGAAAGAAGCTTGGTAGAACATTTACTGGAACTCGCTATGTATCTTTGTAAGGATTTTTATGAAGTTTCGGAATCCAATATTTTCACTCATATGGAAAGGCCACCACTTGCCGGTAGAGAGCTACAAATTTTGACATACTTGGCACTTAGGGCCATTGAGCAGTGAGGGGTCTTTTTCGTGCCAGCACCAACTGCGACACGGGACCTCGGTTTATACGGTCTCATCCGAAGCACCGGTCTCCACTTCCCACAGTGGGATTCGAACCCGCGACGTAAGGATCAACTCCTTACTCCGCGACTCGAGAGCAGACGCTCTAACCACTGCGCCACGCGGGCGACGAGTCGACATATGAATGAAAGTAACTATTGTTAATTGATAATACGTCATCGATATATCTAAATGTCGTGTTGAAGGCCACAGCAAGCGTTTTCTTCGCATGTAGAATTTTTTAATAAATTCTGATTCATATGAATATAAAAATAGGCCTGCTAAAAGGGGACGCAATTGGTACCCATGGAAATTCCAACAGATTGTTGAAAGACCTAATCCACTGAAAAAGAAATCCGAAGCAACTGAAAAACCCAAACGTGATAGCAGGAGACGTTGCATTTGACCAAGAAGGGACCATCAACATACATTGTCAATAGTGTCACAGCAATGAAGAAAGATTTTAACGGCTTTGGATTCAATGCAATTCTTGTAATAGATGGATGCACACCGACTGTTCAGCTTCATATTAAAAAGTTTTATTCTCGATTTTGTGAAATTAAAAATATTGTATATTCCAGTGGGCGCAGAGATAAAATTGCTTTATCAGTATTTTTTCATAATTGGGTTTAAATATTCCAGATATGATGTATTTATGATACCCCACGCAACAAGTTGCGTGAGGTATAATGTTTTTGACCCGTCCGTCAGTCAATCCGTCAGTCCTGTTTTTTTTTTTTTTTGGTCAGCGCAACTCCTCATAAACTGCTGCACAGAATTTCGTCAAACTTTGCAGATATTTAGGACACAATGTGTAGATGTGCATATTACCAGGAAATTCCGATTCCTTTATTTTTTCTGGGAATTTCGGCACTTTTCAACTTAGATTTTTGGCCATATCTTGAATATAGAGATGAACAGTTTGTCAGCGCAACTCCTCATAAACTGCTGCACAGAATTTCGTCAAACTTTACAGATATTTAGAACACAATGTGAAGATGTGCATATTACCAGGAAATTCCGATTCCGTTATTTTTCTGGGAACTTTGGTACTTTTCAACTTAGATTTTTGGCCATATCTTGAATATAGAGATGAACAGTTTGTTAGTGCAACTCCGGATCCTCTTAAACCCCCCCCCCCCCAATTGGTGCTTTGCCTTAAATAATTTCATAAGTGCAGTATATAAACAAATTCATATGCCTACATCATAATTTTGTTTCCATCAATTATTTAAATGTGTAAATTGTCATGTGTTGGACATGGACTTACACCCATTAACAAATCGAAATCACAGGGGAATTTAAATAACAGTTTGTCAGCATAACTCCTGCACTGAATTTCCTGAAACTTTGTAGGTATTTCAGACATAATGTATAGATTTGTATATTACCAAGAAATTGTGATTCCATTATTTATCTAGAAACTTCAGCCAAATTAAATTTGTAACATACAAATATTTGAATGTCCTTATATTCAAGAAGTTTTGATGTGATGATTGTTTGCAAGTAATGCCCCTTTTTGAATTATACTGTGTATTTAAAATGCACTGTGCCATTCACTATGTGTTGCATTGTCGAGTGTTTGGGGGAGCGTTGGGTATGTGAGCTTGCTCACTTTTTCTTTCATTTAGAGAAAAATCATTTAAACAATAAAACTTTTACTTGTGTAACTATTGTTGTTTATATTTTTCTACGTCCTCACAAAGTCAGGAATCCCGAGTCCACTCGTGGTTTCAGGACCCCTGACGTTGTGAGGAAGATTTGTTTCGAGACGCA